AGAGCTGAATTTCACTAGGGATTTGGACCTAGACTTGTTTGGGGGGGGGGCAAAGCAAAGGGGTTACTTTCAACCGTTCTGTATTCTCAGACGCTTAATGGCAGATATGTAAATTTGAGCATTTGCAAATACTAATGGGAAGCAGCTTTGGACAGGAGACCAGCAGGAGAAGTTTAATGGAGGAAAAACACATTAATAAATACAAGAGGAAAAGTAAGAGACTAGCATGTGTTTGTTTTCATGTTGTTTCAGAAGATACAATGATTCCTACACTGCGATAGCATATTGCATTAGTAAACTCAGGTATTATAGCTGTTTTATACCAGGCAGAGTTAGGTCCGGAGAGATCATTGCTTGCCCAGTATCTCAGTTCTGTCTAGCAAAAGGAGTAAAACCTGTATTTTCTGACCGCTAGGCTCCCTGTCTAGCGAATGACATTGTCCCTGGCATGGAGATTTTAGAGATCTGTCAGAAAGGGCTTTTGTTCTTCTCTTACCATCAGTAACAATGTAGGTTATGGAAGTGAAGGTGTAATAAACTATTTGAGCGTTCATTCAGTTCTGGGATTTCAAGAGCGTGTTACTAAATTTCTAGTGGAGAGGATAAATGAGTTTTCCTTTCTTGAAGTCTGACTTAGGCCAGCACAAATTTGTTAATGCTAACAGCTTTCAGAAGAAATCTTCTACCACTGTCACTCCCTCTCCCAAACATGAACCCATATATACAGAAAGCTTGGGTAAATTTACCTCATTTTTCATAGTAAGCAAGTTGTCGGGCTGCAGTTGCTTGTTGTGTTTCTCAATGGGATTTCACACCAGATAGCCAGAATGAGCCAGAACGTCCACGCATGAAGCGGCTCTCTACTTCTAATCTGTAGTTGTTCATTTATCATTTAATTTCAGCTGACGTTATTTGAGGACAGCAGGACTGAACTCTAAGGTGCCGCTGGTTGTGCTGCTACTCTATGTTTACTCTTACTGCTCTAGAAGAGAACAGAATATGTATTTCCCTGTTCTGATTAATTCTGTCCATAAGCATCTAGTCTGATATTTTAGATAGGCAGAGATCGCACTGAAGAGAAAAGAAGAGGTTGTCTCTTCACTTTATTGTTTCATTTGTGCACTTAATAAATATAGTTGTTACGGGGGCGAGATAGAGGTAGCTTTCATCAACTGATGCAGTATTAAGTGACCAGTGAGTCTCCAGTTCAACAACAATTTAATCCAAGAACCCTTGGATGTAGCCTCGGAAGTGGCAATATGTTTAAGCAGTCTGCTGACTTGGGGCCTGGAAGAACAGTGTAGATACTGAAAGGTTATCATTTTTTTCAAGTGTAATCCTAACTAACCGTTTTTAAACCCAAATTCCTGCAAACAGAAGTTTTACTCAAGAGATGCTGTTCTCCTGAGCAACCTGAACAGCTCAGCTGCTTTTTCTAGTCATATTTTCTCACAAAAGTTGAACCCTAACTCCCACTTATTTTTTATCTATGCGAACAAATTACGGATGTGAGTAGGCTTCTTTCTGGTGTGACCAATGACATTGCTGCAACAATTTCAGCTATTTTCGACTCCCGAAAAGATGTTAAATGCTTACATGTTTATTTCAAATTTTACAATACTCTTTCTTTTTAGAATTGCCTGTTGTGAATCTACTGTGGATATTTAATATTTTAAAGGACTATTCCCTGTATTGAAGGACAACTCCCTACTAAGCAAATCTTTTATTAAGTAAAATAGATTATTGTGGTTTTTTTCATGTTTCTGATGTAATTTATTTTTAATTGAACAGCAACACCAGATGCAGGAGAAGACCCCAAAGTCACAAGAGCCAAGTTCTTCATCCGGGATGAGTTTTTAGTGAGTAATTTTGATCTTATTTATGATTTTATCATAGGAAATACTGCCATACGGCATAGTTAATTCAGGGAAAATTGACGGGATTTTGCAGAAATCGAGGAGGAGAAGAGAACGTCTGGCAGTTCCCTGCTTCTTTTCAACTGCCCATATCACAGAACCTTTTCCAGTGGTTATATGTCTTTATGCCCATTTTGTATAAAGTCATCCGACCTGCAAAGTATCACAAAGCAAGCAAGTGCTAGAGCTAGAAATGGTCTTCTGGTCGTGTGCTTGACTCCTAGTACACTGTGGACGCAGACGGCTTTCCCCCTGTGCACAGGGAGGTGATGATGTGGGCCATTTCCATTTGTAGTTAATGAGACTTTCTGTGGTTGTCATTGCTTGTGATAGGCACCACACTACTACTACTACTACTACTACTACTACTACTACTACTGGCTATTGTCTTGAATGTTTAATTTGCATGTCAGTCCACTCCATGTCCAAGCAGATAGACTTCTCTTTTTATCCAGCTGTCCTCCAGGGGCTGTAGCTGATCAGCTGGCGAGAGGGAATGAACAAAAAAAAGCAGATTTTATCCTTAAATAAGGTTTTGGATGACTCTGTAGTACCAGTTAGGAGGTGTGTCTCACCCTGGTATTGCTGTGGCGCTACTGAGGAGTCAATAAGAAAGCTTGCTTGTTTGGTCATACTTGTGGCTGGAAGTGAAGGAGTGTTACCTGCATATCACAGATACAAACAATTATCAGTCACGCAATCACAACCTAGCACAGCTGTCAGAAACAGGGGTCTTAATCCGAAATAACTTAGTGACTTTAGTCATATCGAGTCATTCCAACAGTGCGAAGCAGTAGCAGAGATCAGAACTAAAGCTTAGCACTTCAAATCCTGCCCTACTTACAGAAGACATGAGGGGGTGTTCAAAAGAACAAATTTAATCATTAGAATTAAGAATTTTAAAGTCATTATGCCTTTAAAAGTGTTGTTAGGATTTACAGCTGTTGATGCAACAACAAAGAAAGAAGCAATTAATAATATTCACAGTTTGGGAGTTTTTGTTCACCACCTTAACCTTCTGGATTATGAGGAGAACCATTAGATTGCACTACATTAAAGTAGGAGTTATAAGAAAGAACGCTTCAAACCACGTCTCTTGTGCAGTAGCGCTGAATTGCTGCGAAGGAGATGATCCTGACTGTGTCCAGTTTAGAAAGAGGGGCTGTAAGAAAGCAGTTTACTGGGAAATTAGGGTGAAACACCCCAGCTTTTTATATTTTCATAAATTCTGTCAGGGACGAGAGCCTTACTTGTCATGACTCACTCACGTTATATGAAGAGGCCACCTACGAAGTGGGCAGGGAGGGATGGGGGGGGATGTGCCTTGCAGCCACGCAAAAGGCACCCTTAGGGCTGCCGAGTGTCCTTTGCAGGCGCCAAGGCGGCGAGCATTGGCCATGGGAGGCGCATGGGGCTGCGCCTCGGAGGGGTCTGATGTCCTTAGCAAAGTGGAAGGAAGAAGTGGTGTTTATTTTCTGCCTATGGCTGCCTTGGCTCTGATATATACTTTTCTTTTTATTTATGACTTTTTCCTTGTCCTGCTCCGTTAGTTTTCAGGGGTGATTCAGGGAAAATGTTTTTATTCTTTTACGATCTTTATTACGATTTTTATCACAGCAGCCAGTCAACCACAGCAGCGTACCAGCTGCTGTTACGTAAGGCATGGCTACCTGTGAAATCAGGGCTCTTTCACCACCAGCGCACCGTGTCTCTTAGAGCTCTCCTTCAGCTAACCCTGACTGCAGACACTGCTATTCTCGTGGGCCAGCCAAATATAAAGCAAATAAATCTAAACTCACTTCCCATGTATGTTGCTATAAAGTAGTATTTAAGTATTAGGAAGACGAAATACATCAGTTCCTAGTTTCAGAATTAGACGTGGCCTTCTGCTGGCTTCAGCAGAAGGTCTGGTTACTTAGTACTATGAAATCTAGGCCTTTAATTTTTTAATTATGAAAGCACTGGCCAAGACCTGGCGGGAAATACCCTTTGCTCGTCTCATCCATCCATGGCTAACAGTCCATCTCTACACCTGCAGCAGTGTTGATCTTTCTGTGGCAGCTCACACCACATGTCCAGGCTAGTGATGACGCCTCCCTCTTCCAGAAAACCTATTTTGTAGGAAATTCTTCCTTCTTAGCCTTGTGCCTTTGGCACAGACACATCCTTTCTCCTCTCAATCTCTTTATAAATACAGTATTCATGCACTCATTGTTTAGCATACTCCTTATCCTGATCTTGATGTTTTGTATACAGGATTCTTCAGCTGCTCATGTTTTGTTTTAATACATCTCTGGTATATAGATAATTCCTATTAAAACTGTGGCATGGTACCTCTGGTTCATTCCGGTTCTTAAAAAATCTGAAACTTGGAAGTTGAAGGAGCTGTTGTGTGAATACAGAGACTGAGATTCCTCAAATAGTACATTTAGCCCCTTTCTGAAAACTCCTTGTCATCCTTACCCCGGAGTACAGCGACTCCAGTATTAAATATTCCCTCTTGTGTTCCAGGAAAGTAAGTGTTTTGGAAAACATGAGAGCTACAGAGCTGCCAAGGGACAAAAAAGACTAACAGTGTGAAAATACATCCTTTGACACACTTTATATATAACCAACTCTCTGCAGAGCATCACGGCCAGCTGACTGGCGTATGCTTGGCTGGGAACGAGAGTGTGGCTGTGCGTGATAAACACAAGCGCACAGTTAGTGAAAGAGCAGTTACTTTACTGGAACACTAAAAAGCGCAACAGGAGTTGGGTGGCAGACTAGTCTGTAAATTGGGGGGGGGGGGGAGGACAGTATTTTTTTTTCCCCAAAGGGAGAAAGAAAGGTTTTTAGTAACTGGTCTCTCCTTGCTGCTTTGGAGTGGCATTGTACCATTTTCAGTTAGAAAAGATGTGCATAAAAAAATTGTAAAGCAGCTATTGTAGCAAAAATAGAAACAGTATTGGACTTTTTAGTGTTTCTATATTAGTGTCGTTGTTAATTTTCATGCACGTGATGGTCTTCTCGGCCCTTAGTTTCCTAAGGGTCTAACTTCCCCCAAACCCCAAAAGACTAGGATCTCCCCAAGCGTTTCTGGGAGACTAGGAAGCCTGTATCCTGCATGTGGACACATGTAATCTATGTTTTAATAGTTCCAGAATGTTGCCACCATTGCAGTAACTCATAAAATATATTTTTATTCACTCTTTATTATTACCATTTAGTGTATTTGATGCAAATACGGTCTGAACAACTTACTCATGAATTGAATAGGTTTATTAAATTATTGTTTTTCATTAGGGTACTTCTTGAACTAGATATTCAGTGCAGCTTAGTAAGAAGATCATTATTAGTATATATTTGGAAGCTCCCTATTTAGGGTTTAATATCTGATGTAGCTTAAGCTACCTGCAGAAATCTGCAAGTTTTTTTGATGTAATTATGTAAATCATTGCTTCTGAAAGTTTATAGTTTTGCATATCTTTAGCTTGGCAAGGTATTTAAAAGGTCAATCCCACATGTAAAATAAATAACTGTATTAAAAATACATATCCATTATATGTTTATCCATTATAATTCATAATAAAATTCAGAAAAGATTTCTCAAAAATGATTAGCCCCAAAACTGACTTTCATCTTTCATAAATTTTCATATATGTTCTTGAAGACTGATGATCTAGAGTAGATATGTATTAATCAAGCAGTCCTAAAGCAGTCTAGACCAAAATTGGGATGTTAACATTGTGTTTGAAGATCCTGGGAAATCCTAATGAGCTGGTTTAAGTAAGTTGCTCAGGAGCTTAAGTTAGGAACCTCAAAAGTTGTGCAGTAGTCTTGCAAAAATTAAATTCGGAATGGCCAGCTGTTTACTGCAGGTGGACACGTTTCGTTATTCTGCGGGAAGCCAGCCGCTGTCTTTGCCGTTCCACCATGGTCTGGTCTCAGTAACGGGCTCAGGCCTTCGTTTGCCTCTAGGTAAAGGGGACATCTAGGGCCTTTTGTTGGAAGGTGCATTAAATTGCTGCTTTCTGCCACTAGTGTCTTCAGTAGTAGCATGTTTCCTTTCAAAGGTTTTTGCTGCTTACGTAAAAACCAATGCTCATAGATTTGCCACATGATGGCACCAAAAAAGAAGAGAAAATAATTCCTGGGACCAGTGCATGGCAGAGCACATACTGGCTGTCAGCAGGACAAATTAGCCGTATAGTGATGTACAAACAGTAATAGCATAAGTGGCTCTTAAACGGTGCTAACATACTGACCCTGTAATATTATACGTAACTTCTATTTACTTTGTTCCAAATCTGTGATTTATGCTGGACACGACCAAAATCCTTTTTTCTCTCTCTCCCCCTTTCTGTGTGTGTGTGTGTGTGTGTGTGTGGGAGGTGGAGTTTGGCTGCTTCCAATATGAATAAAAAATAATTTATTTTTATTTATATATAAAAAAATCACAGCTGTAGTATTAGCGTGTTCTCTCACACACGCACACACGCACACACATGATTTCCCACTTTTTTGGCACTTCATAAGCCCATAGGTGAACCTCCTTGAGGAACACCTCCTTACCATCTTGTCTTCCTGTTTCCACAGAGGATAAGCACGGCGAGCGGAGACGGCAGACATTATTGCTACCCACACTTTACATGTGCAGTGGACACAGAAAATATCCGTAGGGTGTTCAACGACTGTCGAGACATCATTCAGCGAATGCATCTTCGCCAGTACGAACTCTTGTGAGGGAGATCACCGTGGAACCTGTGGTTTTAAATTCTTTGCTCCTTACTCTTTCTCTTGATACTACCCCACACAGGGTGGAAGAATATACTATAGAAATGTCAGTCTCTTCACTTTGTTTACTTTAATTATTTAACCTTAAAGCTGATTTGAAGCAAGTTTGGGTTCTTTTCCTTCATGCTTTTTGGGACTATTTTTGTGCTTTATTTTGACATGCCACTTCTTCGTCATTCCACTAAGCCCTTTGGCTACCTCTATTCCCTTAGGTTTGTTTTTTAATTGAACATAACCTGCTAAATTTTTTCCAGCAGGTTAACAGTTCAAACTGGTATGTCAGCTGGATGACACTGAAGTCATTCCTATCCTTCTGTGTGGGTTTCCTTTTTAACATGACATTGAAGAGTACTTGATGGGTGAAAAAGATTAATGCACTTTGTATCAGGTTATTAAATACTGTTGAGGAAGTAGACACACAATGTAGCAGCACCACAATATTTATTACTCTGTCACGGTTTTTAGCATTTCTGAGTTGCAGGTCAACTGATAAAGTGACCTCCTCTTTTAAGCCGTTACTGGCACAGGAAATAGAGTAGATAATGAGAGGAATAGCGAAGACAAAGCAATTTTTCTGGGGTTTTGGAGCTAAGTGTCTCTGCACACCTCAGGCATTTGAATTACAGCTACTTTTCAGCCTGTTGCATCGAGGCAGAAAATTTACCACCCTCACTTATGTTATTTGTGCTGTCCACAAATGATCCTTTTAGTTCAGATCATTCTTGGACAACAGTCCTCTCCCTATATATATTTTTTTGTTTTACTGCTGGTTTATTATATTGTACAGACTGTAAAATGTAATATTATTTTGTACAACTTTATTGAAGAAAAATACTTGTAGAAGATCTTTGTGCCTTGATTATGGCTGTACCTGTAAAATGAGCTAAGATGTAAGTATGTTTTTGATTGCGCTGTACAGCTTGATGTCAACCTTACCTGCAGCAGTGACTGAAGGTAAGAACTTTATCTGTAGAGTTTAGGGGTTTTTTTCTGGTTTATATAAAAATGCTCTTTAGTATAAAAATTATAAATTATGCAAATTAACCACTTACCTTTCCAAGTAAGGTATTACAGTCACCGGATGTTGCAGCAAACATGCCTTTCTCTTTTGAAGTCTCAGCTTTAAAACATTGGAATCCATTCAAGTGTCCAAATTGCAACCTGGTGTTGTTTTAATGGGAACCAAGGATCTTTTTTTCTTTATATTTAGAAAAATATGTTTCGTAATTCTTTGGTCATTCATAGAACTTCACAATTGCACAGACCGATTGTGAATGTGTAAAGCACCATTATATAGAGCTTTTCAATCTTTGTACCAACAGCAGCTTTCATTGTGCAAGTAAATAGCAAGAACGAAGGAAAAAAAAAAAAAAAGGTGTATAAACCCTTCTGTCTGGCCTAAGAGAATTACAAGATGACATTTTTATTTCTCTTTTAATAAAGAGACACATTAGAAATTTGTTTTATTTTAAATATTGTAGAATCAAAATGTGTGAATATTTCTCAAACTTGAATAATTTATGCAAACGACATTCTCAAAACAAGTTGTGGTACAGTACAATATATAAAAAGCAAGAATTGCTGTAGCAATAAGGCATGTCCTTTTTAGTAACTATAACACTGCTTTATATTTTATACATAGGTGGTTTATGTCTGTGACTATATACTTTTCCTGTGTCCAAGATAACCTGTACAAATGTCTAAAATTACAGTTGCAATAACAGAAACCTAGAGAAGTGTTAGACTACATTACTTTCTAGAATGTTTTACCACACTTTGGAACATCTCCACACTTCATTTTAAATTTAGGGAGAGATTGAGATCTAACACATTCCCAACAATGCCATATAAATCAGTGGGTTTGATTAACTTTTTACTGTAAGCATTGTTGTTATTTATAAACCCCGATCAGTCATCTTTTAAATTCAGACTACAGACAAATTCAATACTTGTTTCTACGTGATGATAAATAATCTCATTTTAGATACTGTAATACGACCATTTCCTTTTCTCAGAAATGTGTGTATTTTGATATTTCTATTTTCAATTTAGTCAGTCATCAGATATTTCCCAGAAAGTGAAAGGCCGGGTGGAATAAGCTAGTAATAAATGAAATTCCCAAATGCAAAGATTCTCTCACTTCCCATGCCAAGAAAAGTAAACACTCCTCCTCCCCCCAAAATGAATCATGAAATAAAGGATTTTCTTTAAAAACAGCCCCCTAGCCCAGGAGTTAAGGTTAGAGCCCCCAGCCTCTGCAGGAACGTCGGAAGGAAATTTGTCCTGGGTGTGTAATTGTCCCTCCGTTCTTTCTTGGGCAGGTGGGGAGAAGAGGTAGGTTTGTTGCAGCTTCCCTTAGACTTAGCAAGCAAAGACACTGAGCTCAGACCTTCATGTTTTTGTTGCTGCCACCCAGTTGAAGCCCCGTGGCCCAGCTCTGCGGTGCGTTGCATCACTGCTGGCAGTCTCCACCCTCCTCACCAAAACACTAGTGCAGTTCAAAAAAATGCCTCTACAATAAAGTTAACAAAACTTGGCAGCCCTGCAGGATTCCAAAATAACGCGCCTTCCTATCCCTTCGCTGTAGGCCGAGGGCCAAGGCATAGGATGATGTTACTGCAGCTGTATTTGACCTTCCTTCTTGCAGAAGATCGGCGACTGGAGGGCCCCTCACCACACAGATCTCTGGGATGCAATAGGGCCCTCTTTTTTTAAGCTCATCATAGCACATCTTTTTAAAAATAGCTGCTTGAGGTGTCACCCTAATTTTTTTTTTAAGCAGGTTTCAAGTGTGTTTCAGCAAACTGGATCGGCGAGGCTTCTTCCTGTTGTTGTTTGGTAGACCATAACTGTAGATTGTACTCAACTTTAACAACTGAATATGTTAGGAACTGGAAGATTTCTTGTCCCACACTACAGTCCCTTACATATGACATTCTAAAAAGGTTAAGAAAATCTGCATCTCGTAGTGCTGATGCATCTAGCTTCTGCCTGACCCTAACAAACAGAAATATGACATTAGAAGGGCCATGCAGCAATAAAATGGAGAAACGTTTCCAGTTTGCAAGACTGAGCCTCCACCAGGGTAAGACACTAGCGCAGATAAGTGATGAGGCTATAGGATTTACATACTGTACAGTTAAACTTTTAATATTCATATTTGATACAAAAATTATAGCAGGAAAAGGACTCATTTGATTGTAGAATACAGTATTTTTGTACAGCATGAAACATTCATTTCAGTTATTTATCCTGTAGTAGTCATATCAGCTGTATAGGACTTCTATGGTATGTGTAAATGCAACCTGCCTTCAGACTAGCAATCAAATTAGGTCATTTGCTGGCATGAATATAGTCTGATGTTTGACTGTTCTCAGCTTTGGTATTTCAGTGACTGAATGCAGATGTCTGGCTCTTCATACTGCTTTACGCTTACTGATTAAACGCTGAGCAAAATAAAACGGTGGAGTGAGAAGCTGAAAATGAGCTAGTATCAGGATTACAAACAGAGCACCTGCTGCACAGTATATAGTAAAGACTCTGCTCTCGTACGGAAGGAAGCATTTTCGGAGGGAGAAGTCAGTTGGTGTTATGCTACCCTGGAAAAGAAATGAGACTGTCACTTTGCTGTTACAGTGGTTCTAAATCAGAAGTAACACCATGGCTGTCAGATCTCTGATCTCTAAATTTGGTATTGGGTGGCAAGGGTTGGGGCCAGTTTCCTAGTACCAGTGCCTTCTCCAGGGGGCTGGCGAGTCAGTCCATACCTTGTGGTGCTGGACACTAACTGGAATATTCACCAGGCTAACATTAGCCCAGAGGCCAATCTTCCCTCTGTTCAATCTAGAGTCAATAGAGAGCTGGGCTCCTCATCTGATCTGCCTTCAAGAGAAGCCTAACTTTAGCTGCTGTAAATCAACCTGGAAGGAGCCTTGCTAGGCTAAAGTTCGGTTTTGTGAATGTGCCCCTTCCTCCTCTCCAAGCCCTCCCTCCTACCCAACCCATGCTGCAAAAACTGCGTTGGCTAATGCAAATTATTAACGTGAGGTGAAACAGTAACATTAGAGACCTTAATTTGGTTTTGGTTTGAATTTGCAATTCAAATTAAAGTTTACAAAAGACTGAGGCTGATTTAAAATGGTAGTGAAGACAACGCAACTGTAATTAGCCAACCTGTTTTGCAGTGAAGATGCACTGTCTGGCGTGTGCAGAGAGCATACATATGTAGTTTGAAGGCAGCTACTCTCAGGAATATGGAATAAGCAGAACTACTTTTAACTAGAAATATTAACAGTTGCATAAAACGAATTTAAAAGTTTGGGGTTACCTGTGTAATAAACAGCCTATCCCCAACAGCAGTAAAATAAAGATTTTCACCCCGAGTCACAGATTACTCTGTAAACAGGACTGTAGGTTTTGCTTCTTACTCCAAGTTTTTAAGAGTTCTGTTTTATTTTTGAACTGAGGAACTAATTGATTTACCTCTAAGGATATACAGAGCACTGGAACTACCTGTGAGAGCATAACCAACACACTGCATAAAATGTGAATTGAAAATGAGGAGGCAGACTATTGGCATGTGACAAACGTTTTCACTGTGTGAAGTGGTTAATGCACAAGCTTGAAAACCATGATCACCATGCAAAAGTTGAGGTGGATACGGTCTTGTTTTCATCGTTGGTAAATCAACCGAGCAAAATTAGTCTTTCTACTGTTCAGTGCACAATACTGATTATTTTTACAAGTCAATAGTTTACAGTGCACCCTCTTTATAAGCAAATGTTAGATGCTTGTACCCATATACTAATTAGATCTTTAACAGCATTACTTTGTACCACACAGAACATGTGGCTCCCACAGATGTACTTTATAAAGTGGATGCAGTGTACTGAGTGGGTTGGGTGGGTAGGCAATTTTTTTATTTTTATTTTTTGTTTTTACAGGTAGAATCAGTTTTAAAATATAGCTGACTGCCATGTTGATTTATTTATGAAAGTTATCTGACAAAAATAAAAAAATTAAAACTTACCATGATGAAATTAGGATTGTTTCTATTCCTCCAACTGAATGATGGGACACTGATTTCTGGAATTTTCCCTGCATGCAGCACTTCACAAGCACTATGTGTATGCCCACTGAGAATCAAACGGGGATGAAACCACCACATCAGCTAGAACACAAAATGGCAAAGCCAGAAGTTAAGTCATAACTAAAAATAAATTCAGCTTAACATCAAATTTTTTCTTCTGACAGAATAAAAAATGGAAGGGAGTGCTAATATTCTTACAGAGTGTTTTGTATAAACTACTGTTTTCCAGTAAAACACTTGTTGCTGTTGTAATATTAATCACACCCATCTGGCCCTCATCCCAAATACTGGATTTTTTTTTGGCCATACAGATCAGAACAACAAAGCTAATGCCATGCTGTTGGCATCACAAATAGAAAATTTTTGTTTTTAATAAAGCAATGCTGTTTCTTGTCAAAGGGGGAATTTTGTACGGCCAATCTTGAGTGAACACATTTCTGCAGAAGAAAACAAATACTGCCCATTAGATTCACTGTGGATATTTCAACTTCACATTTTGTTGTAGTAATTGATTCAGCAAAAGCAATACTTTTAGTGTTGGAGAACAGTGACTTTCTACTAGGTTTGTCCAAATATACACGTTATATAAAATACAAAATGCTAAATTAGAGTTAATGGCACTGCAGCAGACTTAAAAGCACCTCGACTTACCACCTGTACACATGCAGCAGAATCAAGGCCATGGTCACAGTGATCCTTAGGGGAGCAGCTTTAACAAGCAGCCTCTCAAAGGTCTCATTAAAGCAGGAGCAGCTGTGGTCAGCTTGTCTCAGCGAGCATTTGTCCTTTCCAGTAGTTTTTTCTATATTCTGTATTTTTTCAATATTCTACACATATCTACACACACACACCCGCACGCACATGCATGCAAAGATACTAAGCTTGCTCATTTAATCAAACCTTTTGTGATGCCTCTTGAGATAGCACATCATACTTTTCTTTAAATGGGATGTTCTTCTCCTCTGGAGCAGCAGCATCTTCTCCACTGCATTCAGCATCACTTTTTCGATAGAGAGGGTAATGCTGGGAGAATTTCACAGCAAGGACCAGTTGTTAACAATCCAGCCTTTGCAGAAAGTTAATAAATACACCAGAAATATGTCAACATCTTGCCTCACCCCATCTCCAACACACCTGTAAAAGGATTGGTTCTGAAGCTGGAAGCTTTTCCACATCACTGCACCTTTTGTTGGAATGATTCAGTTTCTGTGAATAAAATCAATCCATACAAATTATCTTCACCTACGTTTACAGGAGGGGTGGGGAAGGGAATTAAAGTGTAACTGGGGTGAGGGTTCATTTGTTTCTGAGAAAAAGCAGTATCAGCACAGAATACAGTGTTTAAATATTGTCCATTGTATAAGCTCTTTTAAGCTCCTCTGCCAAGGATGAAAGGGGGATGCTGCATATATGGTTGCACTCCTTCTGAATGCAGAAAGCAATAGCAGAATTTCACTGCACAAACAACGAAAAACATATTTAGGGCAGCCTGAGAGAGAGCGAGCAGTTTCAGTCTGGCAATTGTTCCACTGGGAGATGGTTTCCTGATTGACTGCCTACTCAGTAAATCATGCTGCCTACCTTGGTTTCAGTCTGCCTATGAAAAAAGTAACAGAGACGAAACATAAGAGGCAATTGGATTTGATGAGAAAAAAAAATAAGATTATAACCTTTTTAAGTTCTCAAGACAAAGCTCTAGTAAAATCAGAAAATTACAGGAATAGGCTAGTTTGAAGGCTATAGAGGAGAACAATTGCGTTAATATAAATGCAGGGCTCTTTACACATCTCATGTCAAAGGGAAAGGGTTACAGAACTTTTCCTGCCATTCCTTGGAACGGAAGAAACAGCACTCTGTGTAAGATTAGTTGGTAGCGCTAACAAGGCAGTTAACACCCTTACCACAACATAACACAGTGAACAGTGAAGTAAAAATGATAAAGGAAAAATGAAGAGGAAGACGGTTTTGCTAACAAGTTATGATATGAATTGGAAGCAGGTTTTTTTCAGATATGAATCTTAGTTGTACCCGGACTGTTGCCGCAGTACCAACAATTCCATTGCAGCAGCCGAGCTGCTGGCTATAATCAGATCTTAAATAAACTCTTACCTGCTGGGAGCAATTGAGTTTGTGAGAAAGCGCCACAAGCTCTGCCTCTGAAGTACGGCAGATAGCACAGCCGTCACCCTCCATAGCTACGCTGTTCACTATGACAAAGCTGGGAAATACAGGGCAGTGGGTGAAGAGAAAGGAAGTGAGGAGGGCAGAGAAGCATTTGGTATTCATGCACAAAAGTGAGATAAACCTTATTTTATAAAATGCAAGTATTCAGAAGTTGGATGCAACTCAGCAAAACAGCAGAATGTAGCAGCCTCCCAAATCACATGCTATAAATCCTCTCTTGAGTATCCATATTGAAGGTTATCATTTCTCTGCCTCATAGGTTGTTTTATAATTTGTTGTTACTTAGGTGGCACAATATACCGTATGCCAAAAATGTTATGTTTACACTTCAAGATTCTTTTTAAGGTTGTAGTGGGTACTTAAATTGTATTCTAGTGGACTGCTAGAAACCCACTCATCTGAATTCTGAGGGAAAGGGGAAGTTGCTTCTCCCTAAACACACGTTTTAGACACCAGAGGAAATCCAGTTTCTTTTGAACAACTGAAGAGCAAAATAGCACTTGGCCATCTGCCCTGAACGTACTTTGTTTCACACCTAGTGGTCTCTCATAAGGAAAATGGGATTTTATTTCTAAAAGAAAAAGTTTTCCCAGTATATTTCAAACTATGACCTTCTGCCACCAGATTTATTCCTGTTGTAGTCACTCATTCAGGACTCAATGAATAGATATATTCCTAGCTCAATTCAATATACAGACATAAATGAGCTGAATGTCTCCATTTAAATTACTGGTTAAAAGCAAAATAAGTTTAAATTCTCTTTTATCAAATTAAGCTGCTTTTAGACCACTGATTTGTTATAGAATAGTTTATCCAGTAACATTTCATTAATAGCGTAGCTCATTTTAGTTAGTGAATATGGTTCTATACCTAACACCCATCACTGGATGCAAGAATTCTGCTGTGCTGTTTTATCAAAGGTGAAACAGAGATTTCCCTGATAAGTATTTCTAAAAACGGCTGAAGTACATATGTAGGGGACCACACATCTGCATGGTAAACAATAGTATTACACTGACCATCTGTGAAGCTCATAGATCTCCCTAAAAAACATCAATTTAGACCCATTTAGAATGTTTTAAAGGTTTGTTTAATTAAGGGAATCAGCTTTTGAATCTTACTTCTGCATAAAACATTATAAACTAATGGCATACATGCCAAACTACAGACTCGCAACGTATCTGAGGCAAATAAGTAAGTCAATAAATAAACAGAAAACAAAAGGCCCTTCTGCAGATCCACTGTTGCTCTCCCTCATCAGTCTCCTACATAGTAGGTGAAAATAACAAAAGGACACACAGCAGACAAGTACAGAAACAGCAACACCTCTGCTGGGCTACCACCAATGAACAGACATGCAGCTATGAGAACAAGCTCCGTAACAAGATCTCCAATGAGCCAGATCGAGCTTGTGTATTATTACCCCACCTTGTGGCAAAACTTTGGACAACCCACAGCTATCTTGCCACATTCCTGAAACAAGAATTAAGTTCTGCAGCCTACAGAAGTTATTAAAATTAATGAAACTCTAACATGTAAGCACAGAAGGGTTTTGTTTGTGTTTCCTTCCTGAATCCCATTTTTCTTTTACGTTTACAGCCACGGGTCATTACCAACTGCAAGGAAGTAAAAACACAAACCAGAGAAGCTGATTCCAACTCCACAGTACTTTTCCATTTAAAAGAATTACAAATTATCTTGCCTAAAGTAACACTCTGTATCAAGATATGAGTTTGTACACTGTTTCCTTTAACATATCACAAAATAGATACAAAGCAAAAACAACTTTAAGAGGCTTTAAGCTAAGAATTCCCATACTATTTCATTAGAAACACCCCTTGCAAATCTCGTCTTTCATCACTCAGGTCTCCTAGATCAGTAACCACTACTCTGAACATTGAAAAATATATATATATTTATACTCACTTTATTCCTTTTCGAGTTATTAGCTTTCCTGAAGTAAAGTTGAAAACCTTTTCAAATCGCTTTACCTTGTAAGTGGTCATTCTGTGTGATAGAACAAAAATACAACTGAGGTAAAAAACTGGCATTATAAATAATCTGAAACAGTTTTACATTTTAAGACCATTCACACAGCTTACCGCTCCATTATCCAGACCACATATTCAAGATTATATTTGCCAAACTCACAGGGATGCTCTGCCACTCCTAGTGTATTCTGTCCTAATCATAAGCGCAAGCACAACCACCCTACAGGAGAGCGAGGGCGCTTACACTTGTCCATGCTGAGATAACAGGCCAAAGGGAATACCTTAGTCTAAGCACTTTTCAGCCACTGAAGCCCAACAGAAGCAAAAGCAGCCTCAAGACTTCTCTGCCAGTGCAGAATGAACAGCTCTGAACAACTTCACCACATGCTCAGACCAGCACAAAATGAGTCTGAAAACAGATCTACAGCGTACTCCTGTAGTGTCCACAGAGCAATACACTTTAAGATCTCGCTCCAAATTACAATCCCTTCCAACTTATGGAAGGGTTTTGATCATGGTTATGATCATGGTTATGATCACAAATATTCTGTATAAACTCACAGAAAGTCACTCAGACACACAAAAAGTTACTGTATGTATGCATGCTGACACGTCACTGCTGACACTTGCCTATTCCTTTCACTGACAAGACTTACTCATAATGAAATCCAATGTCGTGATTTCCGACGATAACCACTAACTCAGTAGAAACGGGATGTCTAAACATTTTCCGAAATCTCCTGACATCATCTGCCCATGCCTGCAAGAAAACAGAGAAATTAATACTGTTCCACAATACTGTTAAGGGAACCGTAAGTATGCAGTACACAAGCACACACTCAGCGAGATGTTCACATTTTATACGCTTGGTATTAGGGGGAAAAGTGCTAAGGTACTACCAAAAATGAGGGAAAATCACGTCATTTCAACATCCTGGTAACTTCTATCAGTAAGACAATCATAGTAATACTACGTAAGTCTTGCATACCTAGTCTGCCTTCCTCTGCCGTCCGTTTCCTTCAAGAAATCCTCTTTTTTGAAATAAAATAGCTGTGTATGTCATACCTGAGGTGAGCTCCATTTTCCTTCATCAAAGACATCTCCCAGAATAAAAACAATATCTGGCTGCAGTAACCACAAAGCAGTTTGGAAAGATCTCTCCATTTGCCATTCCCTAAGGGGAAAACATACAGCCAGTCATCATTGCCTGACTTCTGCATCCTCGATGAAATCCAATTTGAATACTTAGAAAGGAGTTTAAAATGCAGCAGGTGCTTCTAAACTCACCACAGTACAATTAGGACCAACTCACACAAGAAGAAAAACCAGTTTGTTTATCTTTATTCATTTCAAATCTGTTACACAGCAATTGATCAGAACAATGACTTATTGCATGGGTTTTCCTGTGTCATTGTTTCTTCAATAAAAGTTTATGATGATCATATCATGACAAAATTAGTACTTTCTTATCGCATTCTGCTTTTTTGTGGATTAACAGAAACAACATAGCTTTGTCCATTAGGCACAGGATTGGATTACCTTTGTTTTTAAATCTGATTTTGCCACTGATCCTTCTGCTACAAACTGCTCTGCAATTAGATATTAACCAGATGGACATCAAAGTTATCTGGCTGCTTTTTAAGGCATATTATAAATCATTGTTACACACTGCAAAAGACTGTCCTATCTGAAATGCTCAGGCATCTACATCCACACACTACCTGAACATTCAATACTGCACTGGCTAAATACAGCCCATTCCTTAACCTTTCAACAGTAGTTTATTAACTTCATCAGTCCAAATCCAGATGGGCAAGTCAGAGCCAGCAAATACACAACAATACACAACACTTACAAATACACAACACTAGTTACAACCATTAGTTACTATTAAAAGCTCTAAAAACAGGATAGCGATTATTCCACAAATTAAATCATTACCTTCTTAGTTTGTCCAGCCAATGTCCTTTGATTTCACCAAGGAGGTGAGTATCAGCTAAAATTATGGCCTTCAGGACTGAAGTAGAAGTCTCTTTGGTACTCGTGTGAGCTCCAGCTTTCACTTCTGGCCAGCGACATTGAAAAATCACCACATAATAAATTAAAAATTCACAAAATACTAACACTGAGCTTATGAAGCACATGAGTTTCATGAGGAAACATATCCTCTTCTTCAAGGAAAGAGTTCTCACAGCACTCGAGCAAGATCTCAGCATTACACTACCAGCAAAAGAGTCTTTCCCAGCGGATAAGTTCTCCTCGTTGAGCTGAAAACAGTAGGGACTAGTCAGAGGACCAAGTCGGGCTTCATATCAGTACGGAAACCCTGCAGAGGAAATATATTTTAAGGCAATGCTGGCCTTGTGAATGCTTTATTTTGTAGGAAGCTACCATGCACAGCCTACAGTGCTAGGTTTGTATCACCCTGAAAGCTGTGGAAATACATAAAACCAAACTAAAAAACAAAGCTGGTCTTCTCCTCTGGATAGCTTTAACCTACACAAGAAGGCCATGCTACTGCGCCTAGACTGGCGCTCTGTGCTACCAGGACCAAGGCAACTAGTTTAAAGTCAGCTAGGACCTGGCTGCCTGATGTTCTTGGGACTATACAGTGAAAACAAAATGAGTAGGGGTCAAAGACACAGCTCAGCTTGAACAACAGCAACAAAATGAGAGAGCTGGTGGTGTGAGGCAGAGAAAGGAATTGCACTGGGATCCACACCATCCGGGCCGCTGCAATGCCACATGCAACCACTGTCAGGCACAAGTCACGTAGCACGACTGCACCAAATCAGTACAGTTACCACCTCTAAAAAGGTTTGTTGTAAGAAACTCCAAGAACCAAAAGGAATTTACTACCCCCAAAACAAACTTCCTGGAGCTCTCCAGGAAGACAGGCCCAGGTACACGAGTAGTTAACTAAGAGTGCTTCAGTTCTAACACAGGGACCAAGAAACGTCTAAGCCTCACAGAGACAAAGAGACAGCAATACAGCTGAAGAGAGAGGCGGGGAAAAAAAGCTCATCTAAGTTGCCAAACATTTCGTATTTACAGATTTCTTTCTCCCTGGATGGCTCGTAAGCCAAACAGGGAACTTACCCACTTTTAAAATGATAATGTTATTACTTATTTTATGTCATTTCAAAGGCTGATGTAAAACAAATGCCTCTACTTTGACAAGCCGCAACTTTAACAGGGCTCTTTGACCATTTCACTTGTTTATAGGCATTTAACAGAAGCTCCTGATTTCTGGCTTAAGGAGAAGCTCTACCCACAGTTTCACATTTCTGCTTCTTCTACAGTCCTTCCTCACAGAAACACCTCCAGTGCTAAGTGCCCACAAGAAACAAGTATCCCACCTCAGAGGACAGGGATACTAGCCTTACTTTCAAGAAAAATGCCTTAAGCTTCCTGTGCAACCTCTCAGGGATTCATTCAGAAGAGTACTGCATGTCTGAAAGACCCCTTCTTTAAGCTAACCAAGTACAATGTATTAACAGGAGGAGGGAAGGATGAGCAGAAGAGCCGTAAAGACGTTACCTCACATGCTCATCAAAAAACTTTCAGAGAAACATGAGAAGAAAAGCCTTTTCTTTTCCCCTAAAGAATAGGATTGCTTTTGTGCTTACTAAGTTACAAAAGTTCTAACATAGGACTAAGTTCTGGGACATCAATAATTATTGAACACTTCTGGAAATTACAAAAAGGAAAATACGCACTATTTCTACATGCCAATAGAATGGAAAAGGCACTTCAAAATCTATTTCCTAATTTTGACAGCTTCAGCTTTTGAGTACTATTACAGTGATGAACAGCCAGTGTCCATCTGTGCTGACTAAATCTGATTATAACTGTGAACACTCATTACCTTTTAAAATGTAGGTCCTAAGTATTAGGAAAGCTGAGACAAAAATACAGAACTATACAAATTTAGTAAGTTTTTTTTCAATCCTGGTCTCAGTAGCACACACAGAGCACTGAATTGTTTCACTGCCCCATGCCCCAAGCTCATCTGATTCACATCTTATGGAAAGCAAAAATTGACAGAACACGATTATCTTATTTTTCCAAGCAAAATCTCCATTTGTTAATAGCCACTTATTTTCAAATATGAGCTTCTATTAACAACACTGCAAAGTACTTATTCAGGAAAGAGAACCATTAATCTGCATCATGTAGTAATTCTAATACGCACCATTTAATGTTAGCACAGCTAATACTTCATTGCAGCAAATCAGTTCTGTCTAAACTTAGTTTTGCAGCAGAAATCCACCGGCCAGACGAAACAACTTCCTGACACAGCAGAACTACAAATAAAGCCTGATTAACTTGTTTAATATTAATCTCATCTGTATCTCAATCAACCAGTACAATAAAAATCAGCAAGATCTTGTTTGTACATCTCACAACAAGGCAAGATTAAAGCAGAAATGTCTGTTCAACATACAGCAACAAGGACAAGAGACAGGAAAACTCATAACTGTAAACACACAAATTCATAGGGCCTTATCCTGCACAAACTGTACCTACCTCAGAATTTGGAAGCAGACTTTCATAGTCATAGGCAGTCTCTTCCTCCAATAAAATGGTACTGAATTGAACAGAAAATGCCAGTAAGTCACTTAATTTGCATTAGGCATGTAAAAATGAAATAAAATCCCAGAACTCTACTACTCTTCTTATTCACCATCTACATAAAGCTTAAAGCAAATAAACTCTGTCATTTTGCTATCGATGCTTAAGCATCCTCTAGCAGCTTATTTCATTATATGATTTTTTTTTCACACATCAAATTTCTTCAAAAGCTGTCCAGACAGCTACAGAGCTGCAGCAAAAAGGCAACATTACAAATCAGTGAAAAAAATTCAGATCCTCAGAGGTTCGGTGAGCCCATCAAATGCAAAAAAAAAGGCTGCTTTTAATTAAAAAGAAAGAAACATTTCTTCCAGGCAGAGCTGCCATTTTCAGAGGTCACGAGGGGTAACCGAAACATAACCAAGCACACAGAAACCGAGCCTGTCACTTTTGCATGCGTTCCCTGTCCCAGTGCTCGTGCCGCCAGCTGCTACCACCTGGGGAGTCGTGCTGCAGCTCTGGAAGATGCTAGAGATCTCCTGCCTGCATCCTGCCTGTTTCCAGCTTCCTGATAGTGAAAGAAAAATCACCAAAAGTCAGCCAGGCAGAACGAGCTGAAAGACAACTCCTACTACTGGCTGACTGAAATCCCCAGCCGCATTGGCTGTTTTACTCTCCAGCCTGCTTCGCTCTGCCACCTGCCAGCCAACGGCCACTCACGTCCCCTCTGAACCGTTTGCTCAAGATTGTGGCGGCACACCTCTACACACCAAAGTAAAAGCAGCTCAGCTGCAGCCGAGCACACACAGCAGTAACCTCGCAGTCACGTACGGTACACGAGAACTGGAGACGCAGACAAAAGCGAGCTGTCCTCTGACGCCTCGGATTAGCGCGATGGAAGGCTCGCGCACAACGCTGCCAGGCTGCACGCGCGCTGCGGTTCGACGCCTCGCTGGTTCAGTACGTAGCTATTACAGCCCCTAGCACGACTCACTGTTCGGATTAGACTAGAATCTCTTTGCTTACCAGGGCTCAAGGATCAAAATTATCAAGACAGACTGCAAGATTTTTTGCTGCCTCTTGCTCTAAATAGACAGGAGTGGGATGACGCAAAACTGTTTTCACAAGTTTTACAAGTTCATCATGAAGGTGAGATCAAGATTCTCACCATATTAATTACCTCCAACCGCTTGAGCAGAGAACATATTTTGGAATGGAAAACTGTGATCTTCTGCCAGGCCCAAAAAATATTGTAGCCAGTCAGAACAGAGCCGTTCTGTATACTGAAACTAAGAGGAGGGGGAGAAATAATTTTGAACTTTTCCTTATCTACTTCTAAGAACCATTCTGCACAAACCTTTAAAAATCAGCTTGTGGATGGGAGAACTGCAGATTTATTTAATAATAAAACTGTCACACAAAGGCTAAACACGCTAGAAGTATAAATCTATGCTACAAAACTGTGATAAGAAGTGTTTAAGTGACGCGAAAGTCACTCAAAACACTCAAAAGCATTTTGATGCTTTTCTTCAGCAGCAATGTGTATTTTGCTTACTAACAAATTATTAATTTTTGCACTTATGAGACTTCAATCATATACGCTATTCTATTTTCATCTGCAGAGTTTACTGGCCACACAAACCTGCATCACTGTTCTCTCCCCCCACTCCTCCATCTCTGTTCAGAACATGCTCTACCTTTAATTTGCAAGTGAGCCAAGAATAAAGCAAGAGAAACATCATATAGACAGATCTGGTCTATACACAGATCAAGAAACGAGTGGCTCTGGAGTTTTATCTTCCCTCTCTGGACACCTCCTATGCTTTGAGGACAATTTATTTATTAACTTGCAACTACAAGAAACTGTCATAACAAACAAGGTGGGATGCCAGAGTCCTAAGTCTATCACTAATGAGCCAGTAATAAAGTTTTTATTACTCTAAAGAAACTGTGTTAGGGTAAAAATAAGCTTAGCATTTATAAACTCTTAACAGGTTGATGAAGTCAAGTTTTCACTTAATTCTCCTAAATGTAATGTCACAGAGGAGCAGATTTTCAACCTTCAAACAAATATAATTCTACGAACATATAGATTTCACAAAAATTTAACATAGCTGCACTCAAGTTCAGGCTTGTAGTTCAAATCTCACAAGTTTCTCTGCAGCCTAGACTTACAACTGGGAGCTGACTTTTACCCTTCCAAGCTCTACCTCTCTGAGGCAAAGGCTTTGCTTTTTCCATCACATTTCTACTTTGTCAGTTGTGGCTCTCAGCATTCCAGTTTCTTTTCAACACTTTAAATCCTCATTCTTCAATCAGAGAAGAGCTTCTGATGAATTCTTGTTCTGATACTGCAAGACAGCTCTGACCCATCTTTCTGAATACTTTACTTCCAGTTCTAAATCCTAAATCCTTCCTTCAGCCACAAATTTTAACTGCCCATCATGATAAAACATCTCTAACTGGCGATTTAACTCTCCTGCTTTTATTAAATCCCTTTGAAATGGCTTATTACTATATTAATCACTATATTAATACCTTCTGTCTGTGCTATCACACTCTTGGGCTGAAATTCATACAGATTGTGGAATCTGCAACCAAATCTATTTGATTTTATAGTTCGTACAGTAATGGATAAATGCAGAAATTCTTCAAATTAAAATATCAACATGTTTTCATTTTCCCCACAGAGCCCAGAATCACCTCTGCAAGGTATATATTTAAAAAGAGAGAAAGAAAAAGGGGATTTTTGAAACTTAGAAGTTAGACATGCCACTGTTTATTTTTAAACTATATAAACAAAAATCAAAGATACAATACAAAAACCTTTCAGAATAGCTTGTTATATTGAAATCATATTCCTGAACACATAACATTATCAAAAAGTGGCACTACATACACCAGATGAGGTTTCAATGCTGCAGTGAGTATGAAAAATTATGCGGAACATTTACTTGCCATTAAATTAATAGTCACAAAGGTGCTGTTAAAGGAAGTCCATAAATTGCACTTATTTGTTTCAAGCACTTCTCATACTGATTATTCAGTTTCACAGATTCCTGTACTGCATGCTTTAGATCTTCTATTTCTTCAAAAAAATCCTAAAAAAAAAAAAAACCTTTAGTTTCTTTTAAAGAATATTCCCAGTAAGAGTTAGTCAACACATCAGTTGTTCCGGTGTTCATTTTTTTTAAATATACGACTAAGTTGTGCAACCACAGCTAAAGCAAGATGTGACAATCAACCATGACACTATGTAACAGTTTAAAACTTTGCATGGAAGGTGCTAGGCAAGGAAGGTATCAAGTTATTTCACACTAGTAACAGGAAAGATGAATTGAGATACAAAAGAACAAGGAAAGATTGATTTAATCAGACAGCTACAAAACGGCAGTCCAAGATGGTAAGGGGATACTGTCACAAACTCATCTGTGAAAAAACATGGCAGAAGCTAATGACACAAGAACAAAGACCAGAGACGTTATTACTTCAAAAGACATCTGGAACAAGTCAGTGAAGAATTGAAACAGAGAGATTTCCATGAGATCTGAAGCAAAATCATAGCCAAGTAAGACAGAATTCATAGTGATAGTTCTCTATACATGCTGAAGTCAGCCAGTGGTAGATCAACACGTTGCGAACTTTGAAGACCTGATGGTTATGAGATCATTTAAAAGTGACAATAAGCAAGAAGACAGATTAAGACAGTAAACTAAGCATGCCGATTATATAATATTTGACAAGCCAAGACAACACTGAAGAGTTTAAAATGGAAAAATGAATACCCTATCTAGAGCTAGAAGGATATATAACTTTTTTCAGATCTTAAACTGCTCCTAAATAGCTAGTACCTGCTTAAAATCTTAAGCACAACTTTTAATTTGATTAATGAATGTCCTATTTAAGAGTAAGATCTATTATTTACGACTATACTGTGCTACAAAATGTGATTTTCTCATTCAAAAGGATAAGATTGATGATACACTGAACTTGACAGAGCCTAAGATGGAAAACACTATCCAACAGCTTCAACTGGTTCAGATCACAGTAATTTACAATGAAGTAGAGAACGAAAAAGAACAACACATAAGGCTACGCTGCATTTAAAGAAACAGTTCAATACGAAAGTTACAAAACCCAGCCCTGTTAAACTTATTTAACGTCAGCCTATATGGATTCAGTTCCTCAGACCGACTCTTTTGTAAATATTCTATTCCAAAATACATAACTTAAAAAGTAGTTCTACCTGTGCCTAATTTAACTGGGAGATATGTTCAGCTTCATAGAAATACAGTTCAATTACTACAAATATTGACAGCCTATAGCTTAAACTATTTTCTGCTTAGCTCCTGTGACTCAAGTCTATCAGGCAGTTGATATCCCAACAACTTTTACCTTCAATTACAAAGGAAATGCAAGGACAGCGAGCAGAATGTAATCACACAAGACTTAATTTCACTAAAGTACCCATAAATCTTGGAAAGTCCTAGCTACCAAAATAACACTGTATCTATTTTTATCTTTTTATACCTGTCATCTTCTTCTGCCTAGTCGTTTGCTTTTTTTTTTTTTTAAATAAGCTGCTACATACATTTTAAATAACATATAACGATTAAGTCATTATACCTAAAAATTACACTACCTGGAAAAAGCTCACTGATAAATAGCCATAACCTCAGATTTACACGTTTCTCATCTGAAAAAATGAGCCTTTCAGCCAACAAGTGTCCCTAATTTTTAAACAAGGGAATCTAGAAGCCATCCTCATTAACTGTTCTACAAGTTTGATATTTAATAAACTATCACCATGTCTTAACGTTACCACTGTAACAACAGCCAACACAATGTTATTTAGCTCATGAGAGGAGACTGCAGAATAAAACACATTCCAAAAAAAAAAAAAGTTAAGTATTTTTTTTGTTTAATCAAAAGAATGAATTTGCAATACTCAGTTCCTGCAAACACACACGTTTAACAATAACAAAAAAAAATTTAAATAAAGTTTACTACAGAAAATAACATCTTAGGTCAGTACATCAAACTGAGTCCTCTATAGCTAGCTAGCTAAAACTTTTCATCTTTTCTCCCTCTTCACCTGGGTAGGCAATCTACCACATGAGCTTTGTAGCACCCCCCCACCCAGAACTTGTCTTCTCCCACAAGCATAAGCGGATATGTTTAAATTCAGGAGAAAATAGTTTTCCTCTTATTGACATCCTGAAGAAGTGGTAATTCAAAAAACACTTTCAATATCTATAAAAATACCTGTTGGAAGGAATTAAGTCAGTTACAAGAAGTTACAATTTTCATATCATAACAACATGAGACAAATAATCTCTCATAAAGGCAATCAAATTGTCCAAATGTGAAAAAGCAGTACCCTCAAGAAAATCCTGCAGTTAAAAAGAAAATAATTGCATTATTCCTCTTCCTTAAGCAAGTAGTATTCTTGGACACTAATGTTTCAAGGAGTCATTCATTTCTCTTTCTTTCTTAAAATGTTAGAAATTGATATTTACTTTTATGTATTTTGCTTGACAATAGCCTATGTTCAGCCCAAAGCTAAGTTTCAGTTCAGACAAAAAAGTTAGCTTTACAAAAAGCCAACTATCATCTATTCTTAAACTTGTCCTAAAATAAATTACCTTGTCTAATCCAGCTAATTCATTTCTTAGTGCTCGCCTTTCTGCAGACAACTTTTCATTTTCTTTCTTCAGCTTTTTAATCTCCTTCAACAATAGCTCTATATTCAAATAAAAAAATACATACCTTCAACCATTACAATCAACCTCCCCCTCATATGAAGCACATTACAGCTAAAGAGCTGCCTACGTTTTGTGGTATTAGAAAATTATGGTTCATCTTTTTAAAGTACTTTTTCGTACAGTGATTTATCCTTAAGAATTGGCCCAGCACACTCCCAGCCACTATGAAAGATGACATGATCTGCCAGTTGGCTATTTCCACACGAGTTCTTAGAGGTTGGCAATATTCAACTTCAAAAGTCATAAAATATGTATCACGTGGTTTGATTACCTTTTGCTGACCTACAGGAGGTTCATACAATCCATTACTGGCCTCAAATGTCCTGAAATTATCTCCATGACATGATCTGTGAAACCATTTTTTTAATGCTTTGAAGTGGAATAGGATTAGGGGGAATAACGAGAAGGAACCTTATCCTGTGGACTAATTTACACGAGAAAGAGCATGCCCAAACCAATCTTGTCTGGATTTGTCCCACAGCTTTGTATCAACGCTTTAAGGAGTGTTTTAAAGCTAAAAATAGGTTCTCCTGGGAATCAGTGTCTGAAGACCAAAGAACGGAGCAACAAACACTGTCACCAACAGATTTGTATAGATACAGCTTTATAGAATAAATGATAAATTCTACAGAATACAGCCACACTCCCACTTAGGATTAGGCTCATATACTAATTTAAGAAAAACAGAAAAGCAGCAAATACTTATTTTTATCCCTAAAACAAATGCAGGATTATGAGGTGCCATTTTTACGTAACATGTTTTTAATTTCTGAAAAAATTTCAGACACTGCAGGTTGAAGTGGAAGAAACGGCCTGCAGCACACTTTTGTATCAGAAATGAAATGCATCCTCTCTGGTGGGCACGCTGGATGGAACAGCATCAGAACCAAGCGTACCATTACCTAAATACGTACTGCAACAGGATTCCTTCTTTTTATATATGTGTCTGCAAGATGTTGCTTCTCCCTCTGGGGTTTGACTTCTTTTTTCAGAAACAGCTCTAGCCTTCTTAGAAACCTTTTTACATTCCAGCTGCTCCGTTCTTTGTCTCTGCTCTCGAAGATTATGCTCTAGCTCATGAATTTTAATCTGTCAAGAAACTGGAAAATGTTTAAAATGTACAGAACAAACATAGCTCAACTGAGTAGGACTGGAAACATACCCTGAATGCAAATCTAGCACTCTCAATAGCTGACTTACAACTAAATTTGTCCATAAAAGCCTGAAAGGAAGAAAAATGCAGCAAGTGAAATCTTGCATATACCAAACATGCTTTTAAGAAAAACGTTGCTGAGCACATGCACACAAGAAAGTATAAACGTACATGTACAAAGACACAAAACCTTTCCTCACAATAAAGTGTGCTTTTATGGCACCAATCGCCCACTTCTGAGAAAAAGTCTGTATCATCTAATCATATTGAATATTCAGGTACAAATGAATGAAGCACAAGTTCACAAGCTCCTAGGAAGAGATTAATTACATTGGACGGCTGTACAGTATAACGCTTGATCCATGCCAAAAGAGGCAATCCTCTCTTGAAGCTTTTTCTATCCTGTCGCACCACTCCCAGCCACACAACCCCACCTTTGCTCCACAATGCCAGCCTCATTGCACAACAAGCCAACGGATCTTGCTTGCTGACAAGAAAGATTTGCCTTTTTTTTTGTTAGTTTGCTGATGGATTTCTGAAATGAAGAGGCTCGCTATGTGTGCAGGAAAACATGAGGCTGGGGCAAAGAGAGAGGGAATATGCACAGCTAGTTGGGAAGAGGGACTGGTAGGTGAGTAGAAAGAAAAACAAGGAAAGGGGAGACACACCAGTGACAAATCACTCAAAATGAACATACTGACTCTTTACCTTTTATCCCAACGGCATGGGAAACAGGAAGAACAAAAATGCGCATGAAAAACGCGATCCAATTTTACAAACTTAAGAACCACTTTTCAGTCTACCTAAAAAATTTATGTTTGGCTATTTGATACCGCATTCTACAAATTCTACTTACAGTGAGATTTTTAATTGTTTCATTTTGCTCCTGGTTTGTTTTGATTTCTTTAATGTAACGTCTCTGCAGGTTATTATACATCTGAAGTAGTCTAAAAACAGAAGAAATGCATGAAATGCAACAAAGTATGAAAGCTAATAAACCACTACAATGAATTGTGCATCCTTTACAAAGAAGTATTACAGACATTCCACAGAGATCACGTGGACTGTAGTTGTATTGCAGAGACTTGTACAGAAATATTACATTTGGTATGAATGAAGTGTGACTGGAAACACAGGCAAGAAAGACAGAAAGAGAAAGCACCAGAAGAAACATCAGAGCAAGTCAGAAGAATGGCCTGTATTGATTGCAGTCAGTCAGGCTGAGCATCCTGTGGTTTCTGTCCAGCCCAGATGGCCACACCCTGGTGAGACTTCAGCCCAAACAACTCCTTAACGGGAGACCCTACACATTAACAACAGGAGAGTGGCAACAAGTCTGCCGCATGCCACATACACTATTCCTTTCCCTGTTAGCACAACAGGAACAGCAAAAGACCACTCCTAAAGAACGTATATTAAAAAAAAAAAGGCGCTAAAACTAGTTTCTTGTCACCAACCAAGAACCCACGAGACACAATAAGGACTCATCAGGCAGCATCCCCAGCCCTCTGTTGCACACAAGCAATCCTGGCCAGATCACCTGAACACATCTCCTTGTTTGTGAGTATGCGAGGGTGAGAGTTTGAGCGAATGACATCTATGCAATAACACGCATGAGTGGGTAAAATCGACTAACCTACAGATTTGGTAAATTAATATTACCTTTCCTTTAGATATAATTTTGGCTCGAGTTCTGTTACACTAATTTCCTACAGCATTTCATAGCACCCAATCTACATATATCAAGACTAAAAATGAACTGATAAAAAATGAACAGACACAAGAGCTGGTGTTCACACCAGGTCAGGACTGCACGCTACAAATGGGGTAAGTGATACGAGCACACGACAGCTTTGTGAAATAACATACAAATAGATGCTAAGAACTAACTGTAAGTTAGGTTATCTACGTGCCGTTAGGTTATCTATGTGCAACCTAATACAAAGCAGCTCCAGCGCTATATTCAAAGCACTCAGATGACTTCTACATAGGCATCTAATTAGGCATTGAATGCAAAGCCCAGAGTTAGACACCCAGCCTCCTTACGTACTTTACAAAAAGAGCATGCTACGCTGTAAAACAAACCTCACTGAAAATGTGGTATTCCACAACCAGATAAAGGACACACTAAAGAGAGGGTGCCTGAATCAACAGCAAGAGGGAATGCCTCTGTCTATGTGGAGTCCACAGCCCAGAACTCATCTTCTGGATAGAAAGTTGCCTTTGAAAGAATGGAGCATTATATTTATTTTTAAATCAAGCCACAGAAGGATGGACCAATATTTTATATAGCTGCCTAGTCTTAAAATGTTTTAATGTGCATTTTATTAAAATAAAAATGTACCTTTTGCATCAAAACCAGTTAGAAGAGTTTGTTTTTAGCATTAATTGGCAAACTACAATATGTAGTGGCTTCCAAAAATCAATTAGTCTAAACAGGTAGAATCACTTGTGTGGCTTACTTTCAAAACAGTACTACCCTATAAATTATGTAAATATATATATACAGAGATTTATGATTTAAACATGTATATATCTAGGCATCTATAATTTTTGTTGTAGAGATTTTTAATCTAAAATTGTATTCTTTCCCTTCTTCTTCCTCAAGAACTTCCTTAGCTCATTCAATTTTCCTCAATGAAAGATTTATCAGAAATTCACTTTGGTTTTTGTTTAGGGTTATTTTCCAGTTTAAGATGAAGTATTTCCTTTCAAAATTTAAATAAAATGATTTTCCATTCTGTAACGTGACAAGAGCATTCTAAACTCTTTCAAAGGCTGAAAGCAACTTCCACAACAGAGTTAACAAAAATTCAACTGATTTATCACAAACAGCATCTCTACCCAACAGAGGTGTGAACATGCTTCATTACTTCTACAAAGAAGCAGTTTCCTAGGACTCACCTGACACTTTCACTCTCTAGACCGAGATCCTTCTGTCCGCTCTTATGCCATAAGAGGGGTTCTGTTTGAACTTGAACACTTAATCGAAATAAACATAGTTTAATGAAAATAGATTTCACAATTTTAATTGTAATCATATAAAATAACTAAAAAAGCCTAAATTACTTTTCACTTTGATTTTACAACAGAAGTTTCCATATAGAATGATAAACGCACCAAAACTTAAACTTGGAAATTTTGCAAACATGTATTTGAATCTGGTCAGGACACCTTTCAAAACACTAGAACTATAATTTTTCAGGTCCTCAAGGTCACAGCTTCCAAATCTTTCAAACAGTATTGATGCGATTGAACTACCTTATCATTGTTCCTTACCACAATAATCTAAAACTCTTTACAGTTAGACAGAGATGGCAAATTGGCGAAGCAGATACTTTGGCGAAGTATCCCTTATAGATATTAAAACTGCTTGTTTTACTATAATAGTGAATTTTACCCAAAGTGCCCCAGTCCTGCTTTGTTCCTTTACAGCAATGCCTCCAGTATCACTCATCCCATCATCCTGTCCATAGACAGCCATTCAAAACATGCAGAGCAGATAAGGCCTAATTCATCTGAAGAACAATAACAAAGTACAAGGGCTGAAGTACTGCACTTCTTTTGCTACAAAAAAAATCTCAGTTTGACAGTAATTCTTACTCTCTGCTTGTGACATAGCCGTGTATTAACTGCTGCATACGCAGTTTCTCTTGGAACTGAGCCAGATTCTTTTCTAGCTCTTTATTTTTAATACGTAGTTTTTTCAACTTCTTGAGTAACTGTTCGTTTTCATCACTGAGCTGAAAAGCAAGAGAATAAAAAAAAGGAACATTTTCTGATCAAGTATTAATGGGACTGTTAACGTTTCAAAACAAAATTTCCTCACACAAAAATCACTACATTTACCTTGCACTTTATATATGTATAAAGCAAAACGACAGAAAAAGTAACTGGCTTTATTTTTATCTTAGTCCAACTGAAACTGAAAAATTAATCTATAGCCAGATTAGCAGAGTTACTTGCACATACATTTGCTGAACCTAGCTCAGTAGTATATAGTCAGGTCTATCACTTCATCTGTGAGCCATATGCAACTAACTATCGTGCACTAAGCTACAGGGTTAATACCTAAATTTAGAATGCATTTCAAATATGCAAAATTGATGCTGTCAACTGACGCGCTGTCAACTGCAGGAAGAACAGTGACGCAAAACGGGATAGACTGCTTTAAGCGTTACGCTCGTCCCTAAAGGCAAAGCGGGCAGCGCCAAGCCGAGGGCCGCCCTGCAGGTATTCCCGGTGCTTTCTGCCAGGCCGCAGCGGGGAGGAAGGGCCTTCCGCGGGGCTCTTAATTGCTGGGACGGGCAGACCCCGAGGCGGGGGCGAAGGGCACGGCCTGCCCGCCCCAGACGGACGGACGGGAGCGAGGGAGGGCTCCGTCGCCGCCCGGGGGCCCACTCACTTGGAGGCACCTGTGCACCGAGGGCAGCGCCATGGGCCCGGGAGCGCCGCCAAAGGCGGGACGCCCCGGGAGGGAGCGCCGCCAGGCACGGGACG